TACAAGAGTTCGGGGTGCTATGCCACACCTGAGCTAGAGAACTCAGGTGCACAGGCTAACTAACTAATATCCACAAAAGCGTAAATGCATAATCATGGCACGCAGGCCGAAAGGGGAACTATCTACTTCTACGCTTCAAGTTCTAGCGCGCTCCAGTGACTTAATCTTCTGTGCCTGAAAGCCAAATATATCTGTTCAGCGAGAGATGCTGGTAACCCAGTCCAACGCGTTGAAATACAATACATATAGATATATACATAGATATACGAAAATTCATTTCGAAGCATAAAGGTATATCCTAAGAGACTCTAGCTTTCAAATAAGGGAACCGACTCGACAAATAGGGGTACACATAATCAACAGTCATAATCAAGCATATACAATTCTCACATAGGACACAGTTATAGATAAGTACGACCATTAATCACAATTAAGCATTACTAGCAAGAGCCCTATGGTCACGTTTCCATAACAGTCATATCATCAGTCCTTCTCATCTCATCACATAGCACACTTTGTTGGCGCCACAGGACCAATCGCATGCCCATACATGAGGGTCAGCGCATATAGCTCTGACACGGCCCCGCAGCACCCTGCCCCGTCTCACAGCACGGAGGGGTCGATCGCAACCGACCGATGAACCGCAGTTCTATATAATATTTATATACCTGACCGGTCTTTACCAGCCTGGTTAACAGTTGGGATGGTTCTCAACCCATTCAACTGCCCGTATAGTGGACCTCTATCCTATATAATATTTATATACCTGACCGGTCTCTACCAGCCTGGTTAACAGTTGGGATGGTTCTCAACCCATTCAACTGCCCGTATAGTGGACCTTAGTCCTATATAGTATTTATATACCTGACCGGTCTTTACCAGCCTGGTTAACAGTTGGGATGGTTCTCAACCCATTCAACTGCCCGTATAGTGGACCTTAGTCCTATATAATATTTATATACCTGACCGGTCTTTACCAGCCTGGTTAACAGCCGGTATGGTTCTCAGCCCATCCGATTGCCCGTATAGCCCGATTGATCTCAACCAAATCGGGGTAACATGCACACATAACACATAGCAAGCACATGCAACCCACATTAACACATTGGGAAGGGGGAAACGTATAACGAAACCTATGCGTGGTCATCCACACCTAAGAATACTCCTAATGGGTTCATACTTCTTATACCTAGGTCAAAGGGATACCAATTCAACTAGTATGCAATATACAAGACTCATTCGACCTAAGAACGGCATCCGAACATCAAACTAGACATTGGCACGATAGGAGGGGTCCGTTGGGACGCCCCGGGGGGTCGGGGGAACATCAAACGGGGAAGCCGGGGTCCCAAAGTGTGGGAAATTCCAGCGGGTAACCGATGGGTGGGGCTTCACCCGCCGGCTGCCCGCCGGTATTACTGTTCTGGGCAGCGGGTGCCCGGTGGGCAACTGCTCGCCTGTAACACCCCAGATTTTCAAGACATTTAAAACTTATAATAAAGGTAGAATCTTATTAAATCCCAAGATATAAATACAAGCGTTCGGGGTGCTATGCCACACCTGGGCTAGAGAACCCAAGTGCACAGGCTAACTAACTAATATCCTCAAAGCGTAAATACGTAAACGTGGCACGCAGGCCAAAAGGGAAACTATCTACTTCTAAGTTCTAGCGCACTCCAGTGACTTAATCTTCTGTGCCTGAAAGCCAAATATATCTGTTCAGCGAGAGATGCTGGTAACCCACTCCAACGCGTTGAAATACAATACATATAGAGATATATATATAGATATACGAAAACCATTTTAAGCATGAAGATATATCCTATGAACTCTAGCTTTAAAACCGGGAATGACTCGACAGATAAGGCCAGACACAAGTAACAGTTATAACGAGCATATAAAGTTCACAACAGATAAGGCAGATGAGGCAAAGCATAACAATAATCACAACCCAACATAAACAATCCCCAACATAAATCCCACTATCACATTCCCCCAAGGCACTCATAATCACAACTCATCCATATCGCAACACATAGCACACTTTGTTGGCGCCACAGGACCAATCGCATGCCCATACATGAGGGTCAGCGCATATAGCTCTCACACGGCCCCGCAGCACCCTGCCCCGTATCGCAACACGGAGGGGTCGATCGCAACCGACCGATGAACCGCAGCTCATCATAGTGTTTGATCACAACCAAACAGTGGACCGCAGCCCAAGAGAGTGTGTCATCTGACTGTAGCCAGGAATTCCCATCTGACTACAGCCAGTCTCTGAACCGCAGCTCAGGAAAATGTCATCTGATTGCAGCCAGGAATTCCCATCTGACTACAACCAGCTTCTGGACCGCAGCCCAGGATACCGTCATCCGACTACAGCCAGGAATTCCCATCTGACTGTAGCCGGCTTCTGAACCGCAGCTCAGGATAACCAATCCGATCGCAACCGAATTGGGGCAACACGCACACATAACACATAGCAAGCACATGCAACCCACATTACACATTGGGAAGGGGGATAAAGCGTATAACAAACCTATGCGTGATCCATCACATGCTAAGGATAGTCCTAAGGGGTTCATACTTCTTTCACCTAGGTCAACGGGATACCAATTCAACTAGCATACAATATAATAGACTCATAAACCTACGAACGGTACCCGAAACATTAAACTAGACATAGGCACGACAAACGGGGTCCGTTGGGACACCACGGGGATCGGGGAACCATCAAACGGGGAAGCCGGGGTCCCGAGGGGGGACAAATTCCAGCGGGTAGCCGGTGGGTGGGGGGTCCACCCGCCGGCTGCCCGCCGGCCAACACTGTTTCGGGCAGCGGGTGCCCGGCGGGCAGCTGCCCGCCCGCCGGCTGCCCGCTGCCGGAACTGCCCGAAGTTGCCACGGGTAGGTGGCGGGTCCCCTACCCCCACCTACCCCCCACTGACTCTTTTCATCACTTTTCGCCCCGGAAACCGTTGTGGAACCCGAAACCATGCTTAGACACTTTACAACGCAATTAACGACAACACGTAGACAATTAACGGATCAAATACGAGAAACGAACGGCACCTGACCTATCATGCTTTTCTAAACGTAATCAACACCCAAACATGCGATTTCCCCACCCGATAACCCAAGAATAATAACATACGATACAACCTAGGGTTCTAATTACTTTTATATCAACAAGAATACGATTCACCTTCTAATTGCAAGATTCGGTAAGAATAACACATAAACATCGAGGATGCCAATTAATCACAAAGAACATCATAATCATCAAGAACAACACAAATCATCAAAATCCCAATTAATCATCAAGAACATCATAATTATCAAGAAACTCCCAATATCAAGATGATCAAGATTCCCCATGGAATCATCAAATCAACATCAATAATAATTACCATAATTTCGCCATTCACAATAATATGGGGGAAACCCTAAGGGGAAATCATAGCTATGAAAATAGGTTTTGTTGAGACATGGGTTACCTCTTAGCCTTAATTAATTCCTTGGCTATGAAGGGTCTTTCTTTAAGCTTTCTTGCTTTCTTGATTTCTTCTAAGGGGATTCTTGGAGCACTTTGGGGTGGTGGAACGTTTATTGTGGTGGGGGGTTCTAGGTGTCTCTTAAGTCCCCTATTTATATATTTAGGAGTCCTGGTTAGGAACTAATATTATAGGCTTGCTAATTCTATTCCTTTTGGAACTAAGGATTGGGTTTAGGGATAAGGGTCCATGGTCCATAGTGGGCCATATTAATTAATTAATTAAAGGGAATCCTAATCGTAGTCTGAATAGTAAAAGGCCTACTTCCTTTATTCCTAATAGATAACTAGGTCTAGGATTCCTAATTAGAATCTGAATAGTAAAGGGTTTACTTTCTTTATTCCTAATAGGCTTAGGACTCTAATTTAGGCAAGGGTCCACGGTTCATGGTGGACCTTTATTAATTAATTAAAGGAAACCTAACCGAATTAAATCATATTTAATTATTATTGATGGGATTAATTTAATAATTAATCCGGGATCGAGGGCCGTAACACGGGGTGTTACACCGCCCGTCGGCTGCCCGCTGCCGGAACTGCCCTTCTTGGCCGCGGGTAGGTGGTGGGTCCCCTACCCCCACCTACCCCCCACTAACTCTTTTTCACCAAAAACGCCCCGGGAACCTTTGTGGAACCCGAAACCATGCTTAGACACTTTCAAACGCAACTGACAACAACGCGTAGGCAATTAACGGATCGAAATCAAGAAACATACGACACATAACCTATCATGCTTTTCTAACATAATCAATCCCCAAAACATGCGAATTCCCACCCAATATATCAAGAACAATACCATACGAATTCCACAATCCAACCTAGGGTTCTAATCACTTTTAAATCAACATGAACACGATTCATCTTTCAATATCGAGATTCGGTAGGAAAAACACATAAGCATCAAGAACATCATATAATCCTCAAGAACATCACATAATCATCAAGAACATCAAGAACACCATTTAATCATCAAGAACCTCTCAAGAACATCAAGATCACCCATGGAATTATAACACCAATTATCAAGATCATTATAACGAATCACCAATCGCATAAGAATATGGGGGAAATCCTAAGAGGGGAAACATAGATATGAAAATAGGTTTTGTTGAGACATGGGTTACCTCTTAGCCTTAATTAATTCCTTGGCTATGAAGGGTCTTTCTTTAAGCTTTCTTCTTTCTTGATTTCTCCTAGGGGAATTCTTGGTGTGGTGAGAGATTATGGTGGTGGGGGTTCTAGGTGCCTTCAAGGTTCCCTATTTATATATCTAAGGGTCTTATTTAGGATCTAATCCTTTTAGGACTAGGGGTTGGGTTTAGAGATGAGGGCCCACGGACTATGGTGGGCCTTTTCCTAATTAATTTCTGTAATTTAATTCTTTCTTTTGGGTAATTGATTAAATGATTAATCGGTTTTAGGGGTCGTAACACGTGGTGTTACATGTATGACCTCTCATAAACCAAAACAGTGGATTAAATGGATTGCCTTGGCTGAACACTGGTATAACACGAACTTCCATTGTTCTCTACAATCTACGCCTTTTCAGGCTTTGTATGGCTACCCTCCCCCTCAAATTGCTGTCAATGCTTCTGCTAGAGCTATTGATGAGAGCTCTGAACAGTGGGTTCAAGAGAGAATGTCCTTCTTAGCTGTGATGAGAGGTAATTTGTAGAAGGCACAACAGAGAATGAAATTTTATGCAGATAGAAACAGATCTGAAAGGACATTGCAGGTGGGAGATTGGGTGTTCCTCAAACTTCAGCCTTACAGACAATCTTCAGTAGCCATCAGGAGGAATCTCAAGCTGTGTTCCAAGTACTATGGACCTTACCAAGTCCTTGAGAAAATTGGTGCAGTAGCATACAGGTTGCAGTTGCCTTCGGGGACTCTAATCCACCCGTTTTTCATGTGTCACAGCTGAAAAAGAAGGTAGGAAGTAATGCCACAGCACAGTTACAAGCACCATTAGTTGGTCCTGAGGGTCAGTTGCTTTCTGAACCAGTTGCTATATCGGATAGGAGGATCCTAAAGAAAAACAATGCTGCTGTAGTTGAAGTTCTTGTACAGTGGGCAAATCTTTTACCGGAGGAGGCTACATGGGAAGAGTATCACCACTTGAAGGCACAGTTTCCAGAATTTGATCCTTGAGGACAAGGATTTGCTGATGGGATGGGGTATGTTACAGATTAGCTAAGGTTTGGAAATAAAGAAGTCGTCAGACGACGTCGTAGCAAGGATAGACGGTTAGAGTTGTTATATGCTTACCTTTTTACCCTTTTTCTCCTCTTTAAAATGTAAACAGACGCAGAGTGTATGGGTTGAATGAGATTCCAGATTTTTCTTTCACTTTCTTTCAATTTCTATCTCCAAACTCCTAAGAGCAGTAACACACACATCCTCAACCTTCTTCACCATTGCTGCAAACAAAAGAGAACAACCAGGGCCAGATTTTAGGTTGTGCAAGTTGGGCTATCGCACAGTGCCCCCAATTTTAGAGGGGCCCCAAATTTTAAAGGTCCAATATTTAATTTTTACATAGTTAGTTTAGAAATAAAAATTAAAAGTTTTCAATTGAATTTAAAAGGTTTCATGAAGAGATGGTGAGAATTTGTATTTATTATATTTTAATTTGGAGGTCAAAGGTTCGAAACTTACATGTATTGATTTTTAAAATTGTGATCTTGTAGGGCCACATTTATTTATTAGAACAGGGTCACAAAAACTTAAAATATGGCCCAGAGAACAACCCACCAGATCAACATCCCCATCTCTTCCTCTATTCTCGTCTCTCCCTCCCCTACGTTAGCTCGGCAGATCAGTAGCAGTCGTGGACGGCAGTCTTCTCCGGCGAAGAAGCGACCAACTGAGAGGACGGCAGCAGGTGGGGACCTCCTCCGTTTCTCAGCGTAGCAGCTCCGGCAGTGGGGTCTCCGGCAGTGGATCCTTTCCGGCAGCATCGGACTGTGCAACTCTTCTTGGTTTGAAGGTGATGTATTGGATGATGTTAATGAAGTTTAGTGATGTGGTGTTGATTGTTCAATGATAATGTTATGATTATTGGTTCATGATTAGGTGAGTAAAGCATGTTTATGCTTGGCGAGGGAATGAAGATGACAGAACATGGAATGATGGATTATTGATAAAGGTAAGGATGATTAATGATTTAATGGAGGATAATGATGATTAGTAATGTTAATAAAGATTAGTTGCTAAGTTAGTCATTAATGGTCAGTGTGGTGGAATGGTCAAGGTGTTGGTTGGTTACGGAGAGGACCTAGGTTTGAATCCAGATTGACAATGAATAAATGATGATTATATGTCTTAATAAGAGTATTTAAATGACAGACGTGTTTATGGAATCATTTGGTTGATCTACAGGTTCCTCGAGTGCTTGGCTTTGGAGCACGGTTAAAGGTATAACCACATGGATTTTCAATCTCTTTTTGACTATGTGAAGTCACTGCTTTGTAGCTAAAAATGAGTAGAAATGTTAGATTATTGTGTGTTTGAGCTATTATATGACTTGTTGATATTGTATAATGTGTTGGGGATGATTTGGAAGTGGAATTTTGTCTGCAAATGCTTTACAGGTGAAGAAGAAGCCTCTGGTGCACAACTCAGCGTGCACCAGTGAGAGTCATGGGCCTAGCCAACGGCCCACGAGGGGAGCCGTTAGCTAGAGCCGTGGCTAGACGGCCCTAGGCAAGGGCCGTGGACCTAGGCCGCCGCCGAACGGTTCCAAGCGGCGGGGCTAGGGGTAGCCCCGCCGCTAGGTCCGTTGATGGTTACCTGTGCAGTGGCCGAGCCCTTTGTGGCTCAGCTACATATTGTTTCAGATCGGGTGTCACGGGCCCTTGTGGCTTGGTACCTTGGGGCCGTCATGACGCACGTTTGGACTTTGTTTTCGTTGAGTTTGGATTAGAAATGAGCATTTTGTGGTAGATTTTGAGAAGCAATTGAGTTATAGTAATGTTATTTGAGAAGCATCAGACTTGGTTTTGCCTATGTGATCTGTATGATGTTATTTGATTGTTAAATAGAGAAGCATGATCACTAAGTGTTTAGGTTTTGTTAGAAGAGCATGCCTAAAGTGTATTTTGTGATTCATGGAGATTATAGTCAGATTTCAATTGATGAAGTGTACAGAGCATGTTATTTTGAATTCCAAGCATGATTAAGTGTTCTTTGAGAAATTCACAGTTGATGTAGTAGCAAAAATAAGATGTGAGCTCGGGTGTGAAATATCGTCCTCAGGGGATTGGGGTGTAACACCCGCGATTTTCAGGATATTTAAAACTTATAAAATAAAGGTGAGATCTCGTTGAATCCCAAAACATAGTACAAGAGTATGGGGTGCTACGCCACACCTGAGCTAGAGAACTCAGGTGCACAGGCTAGCTGACTAATATCCTCAAATAGTATCAGTACTAAATCATGGCACGCAGGCCGAAAGGGAAAAACTATCTAAGGTACGTCCAGGCTTCTAGCGCGCTCCAGTGAACTACTCGTCTGTGCCTGAAAGCCAAATATATCTGTTCAGCGAGAGATGCTGGTAACCCACTCTAACGTGTTGAAATACATTACATATAGAGATATATATAGATATACGAAAACCATTTTGAAGCATGAAGATATATCCTACGAGACTCTAGCTTTTAAAACCGGGAATGACTCGACAGATAAGGCTAAACACAAGCAACAGTTATAACAGGCGTATACAATCCTCCACAGGCAAGACAGATAGAGCTGAGCACAATTAATAATCATAACCCAATGTAAACAATCCCCAGCATAGATCCCATAGTCACATCCCCCAATATAATCATAAACACACTCATCCATATCTCATCACATAGCACACTTTGTTGGCGCCACAGGACCAATCGCATGCCCATACATGAGGGTCAGCGCATATAGCTCTGACGTGGCCCCGCAGCACCCTGCCCCGTCTCACATTACGGAGGAGCCGATCGCAACCGACTAATGAACCGCAGTTCTATATAATATTTATATACCTGACCGGTCTCTACCAGCCTGGTTAATAGTTAGGATGGTTCTCAACCCATTCAACTACCCGTATAGTGGACCTTTGTCCTATATAATATTTATATACCTGACCGGTCTTTACCAGCCTGGTTAACAGCCGGTATGGTTCTCAGCCCATCCGACTGCCTGTATAGTGGAACTTAGTCCTATATAATATTCATATACCTGACCGGTCTCTACCAGCCTGGTTAACAGCCGGTATGGTTCTCAGCCCACCCGACTGCCCGTATAACCCGATTGATCTCAACCAATTCGGGTTGACACGCACACATAACACGTAGCAAGCACATGCAACCCACATTAACACATTGGGAAGGGGAGGAAACGTATAACAAAACCTATGCGTGATCCTTCACATGCTAAGAATAGCCCTAAGGGGTTCATACTCCTTTCACCTAGGTCAGCGGGATACCAATTCAACTAGCATGCAATATATAAGACTCATACAACCTACGAACGGTACCCGAAATATCAAACTAGACATAGGCACGATAGACGGAGTCCGTTGGGACACCACGGGGGTCGGGGAAACATCAAACGGGGAAGCCGAGACCCCGGGTTGGGGTATTTTCCAGCGGGTAGCCGGTGAGTGGGGGTCCACCCGCCGGCTGCCCGCCGGCGTGCACTGTTCCGGGCAGCTGCCCGCCCGCCGGCTTCACGCTGCCGGGACTGCCTGACTTGGCCGCGGGTAGGTGGCGGGTCCCCTACCCCCACCTACCCCCCACTGACTCTTTTCATCACAAAAAACGCCCCGGGAACCATTGTGGAACCCGAAACCATGCTTAGACACTTTACAACGCAATTAACGATCAACACGTAGTCAATTAACGGATCAAATACGAGAAACGTACGGCACATAACCTATCATGCTTTTCTAACATAATCGACACCCCAAACATGCAATTTCCCACTCGATAAACCAAGAATGATATCATACGATACAACCTAGGGTTCTAATCACTTTTATACCCACAAGAATACGATTCGTCCTCCAATTACAAGATTCCGTGCATATAACACATAAGCATATACAATTATCAAGAATGACATATAAACATCAAGAACTCCACATAATCATCAAGAACATCATAATTATCAAGAATCTCCCAATATCAAGATCACCCATGGAATTATCCCATCAATCATCAATAATAATATCGCAAATCATCAATACATAATAATATGGGGAAATCCTACGGGGGAAATCATAGCTATGAAAATAGGTTTTGTTGAGACATGGGTTACCTCTTAGCCTTAATTAATTCCTTGGCTATGAAGGGTCTTTCTTTAAGCTTTCTTGCTTTCTTGATTTCTTCTAGGGGGATTCTTGGAGCTCTTTGGGGTGGTGGGCGTTATTCTTGTGGTGGGGGGTTTCTAGGTGCCCCTTAAGTCCCCTATTTATATATTTAGGAGTCCTAGTTAGGAACTAATATTATGGGCTTGCTAATTCTATTTCTTTTGGAACTAAGGATTGGGTTTAGGGATAAGGGTCCATGGATTAAGGTGGGCCTTTTTCCCTAATTAATTATTATAATTTATTCTTTCTCTTGGGCTATGGGTTAATTAATTAATTGGTTTTAGGGGCCGTAACACGGGGTGTTACACTCTCCCCCCCTTACGAGGGGCTTCGTCCCCGAAGCCTGGTGCGTTAATCCATTCTTTCACCCCCTAGGCATTCCGCATCTTGGCCTCCCGGTTAGGAATGTGGCCCCACGTTTTTGCCTTATCTGGGGTAGACTGGATTTCTGGTGGTGTTGTGATAGAAAGGTTTTGGGTCTACCTCGGTCTCCTGCTCCTGAGCTGGACGTCCCGCGAGTGCCCAAGGTGGCCTCGATTGCTGCCACCCTCTGATCTAGTGCGCGTGTCGTACGGATCAAGGATGAGAACCCTTCCTCCATGATTTGGTTTTGCCGGTTGAGCTGTGCGAGTATGCGTTCATTGATTGAGCCCTCGTTTTGCTCCCTTGGGTTCCCTCCTGATCGTGGTTGCACCGACGGGTTGGGTTCGTCATCTTCCTCCTTGTCCTCATTTCCCTCCAGGATTCCGCGATCTTGCATTGCTCGTTTGAGCTTCTTGTTGGAAATGTCTAATTGGTCGACCAA